GTACTCTGTTCGCTACCTGGTCAGGTACTCTGTTCGCTACCTGGTCAGGTACTCTGTTCTCTACCTGGTCAGGTACTCTGTTCGCTACCTGCTCAGGTACTCTGTTCGCGTGACGGTACATCAGTGGTGAGTGGGAGCATTAGCGTTAGCGTTAGCGGGCTCCTCATTTGAGTGAGGCTCTTTTAGACTTGGCGGTGCGTCCGTGTAACTCTGTCCTCTCCGTCACGGGTCAGCTCATCCTCCAGCCCTCATGGGGCAGACTTGGGATTCAGGGAACACAGAACTAAAAGGAGGCTTTAAAGAAGAGGCTGCAGTAAGTGGACGTGGACTAGAGGGAGCTCACAGCTAAATGGGCCGCGGCCTCGGGGAGCGTTCAGCACACTACAGCAGCTTTACTGAACAGTGTGCTGACCTGCTTCTATTCTCACCAGACAGTTTTATTACACCTGAACATCTCACGACCCCCAGGTCAACTCCAGACAGGAGCAGCTGTGCACACACATCCACACACACATCTACACACACACACACACCTCTACACACACACACCTACACACACACATCTACACGCACGCACCTACACACCTACACACACACACACACCTACACACACACACACACCCACCTACACACACATCTACACACAAACACACACCTACACACCTACACACACACACACACACACATTTAAAAGAGAGTCTGTTAAATGTGTGTGTGAGTGTGATTTCTGCTAGTTTCCCTCTCATGTTTCCCGTGAGGTGTTTATAAAGAGCAGTTGTTCATGAAACACTGTAACTCTGTAGAACTCTGTTTTATTCATGTAAACATGATGTACGAGTTATAAAACATGTATTAACACTTTATACTCTGCACTAAAGATTAACCGCAGCTTTCAAACTGGTTCAAAGTTTAAACTAAAATATTTTTAATTCAAACTCCTTGAGCTGTTTCCCCTCAGTCAACATGAACACATGAATACATATGAACACATGTAGTTAATGTACAGAAGTGTATTATTATATTCATCCATTCATTCAGTGGGTCATTCTGCACCTCAGACTGAACATAAACTCACTCACTGATGAAGGATCACTATACATTCAGCACGGTTTTAATAAGATAACTCTGCCCTCTCTTACGATGCCCCCCCC